CGGAGGAATAACATTGTCTTCTTCAAAGATGATTCAGGAAAATGGATTGAAGAACCGTCGGCCATAATGGATCATGTCACTTGTTACTTCAAACAATTATACACAACTTCTCACAACAAGACCAACATTATTAATAATAATGCTAAGAATTTTGCTAATTGTGACCTATCAATCTTGGATAGACCCCTTACCAATCAAGAAATTAGAAGATCAGTTTTTTCTTTTAAACCTTATAAGGCACGGGACCTGATGGCTATCACCCTTTTTTCTTCCTTAAATTTTGGCATATATTAGGAAGCAAGGTGATAAATTTATGCCATACTGTCATTAATACCTCCAAAATACCCGTGGAAATAAACCAAACCTATATTTGCCTAATTCCAAAAATCAAAAATGCAAACACTCTCAAGAACTTTAGACCTATAAGTTTATGCAATATGATCTACAAGATCATCACTAAAATTATTGCAAACGGGATAAGGCCTTTCCTTAATCAATTAATTAATATAGAACAAGCCAGCTTCATAAAAGGAAGGAGAGCAAGTGACAATGCTATAATAATTCAAGAAGTCATTAGGAACCTTAACTGTTCCAAAGGTAAAGAAAAAATGATCCTGAAGCTAGATCTTGAAAAGGCATTCGATAAAGTGGAATGGTCTTACATTTATCGAACACTAAATTTTTTCAATTTCCCCAGGAACATTAGCAATCTAATCCTCAATTGTGTTACCACAAGCTCAATTTCAGTCCTTGTCAATGGTAACAAAACAAATGAATTTATACCCATTAGGGGGATTCGGCAAGGAGACACTTTGTCCCCTTATTTATTCATACTATGCATGGATATGCTTTCAAAAAATATTAATCATGAAGTGGATATTAGGAATTGGGTACCTGTTAAAATAAATCCAAAGACACCACCCCTCTCCCACTTATTTTTTGCTGATGACATGACTTTAATGGGTGAGGCTGACCAAAAAACTCTTAGGGCTATTACCAAATGCATGAATGATTTTAGTACACTATCTGGCCTTCATATTAACAAGGCAAAGTCAAAAATAGTCCTGTCCAGAAATTGTACAACTCAAACTAGGGAAATGGTTGCTAACACTCTTGGGATTGTTGTTAGTAATACCTTTGGAAATTACCTGGGCT